GAGAGCGCTTGCCTGGCATGCATGAGGCCCTGGGTTTGATCCCCAGCACCACAAAAAAAAAAAAAATTAAGTAAAAATAGTGTTCATTCTTAAAAATACATTTCCCAAAGTCCATTGATGGGGAGCTCTGAGGAAGGCTAAGGACTTTATGTTCAAGGGTGCCACTCTACAAGCAGCAAAGTCAATGATACTATCCAACGTTTTCAGTTCCTTTAAGAATTTCTGCCCCAGTGTTTCCAGATGCATTTCACAATAAATTGTTCAAACTGAGAACAAGGAGCACCGTGAGCATTCTGGCATCTCCATTCGTGTCTCTCCAGAGGTGGCACCACCCCAATCCCAAATCTGTTCTCAGAAATGTACGTAAGAGAACTCTCCAGGGACCGGAGGAGCCTGGGTAAAGTGCACTGGCTCCCTGCCAGGCAAAGAGCAAAATAATATTCTGTATGAAAAAGCAGTTTTTTTCCTTCTTCTTTCTCTTTCTTCATTTCTTAAAGGGGAGGGGAGTGTTTCTGTTTTCCTTCATTGTGCACCAAATCCCTAAAGACCACAAATCTCTAAAAGTACACACATTAATATTAATGCAATCACAATAGGAACTGTTATACAGTAAAGAGAGAGAGAGAAAAGAAGTAATAGAAATTGAAGGATGACTGTCTTGGGTAGTTTTAGGATGTGTTTTGCTCGTGGGAGGTGTTTATCTTTTTACTTTTGGTATGGCTTAACCACTAAGCCATACCCCAGCCCTTTTTATTTTTTACTCAAAGACAGGGTCTCATTAAGTTGCTTAGGGCCTTACTAAATTACTGAGGCTGGCCTCTAAGTATGATCCTCCTGCCTTAGACTCCCTAGCCTCTGGGATGACAGGTGTGCTCCACACTGCGCCTGGTGGAGGCGTTTATCTTACTAATAAGTACCTTTATCAGGGAGGGATGATCCCCCACATGCTCCAGGGAATCCTAAGGATGCTGAGTAGGATGCTAGGACCAGTAGCAGCCCCAAGGAACGGTGGGAGGGCAAGGAGGTCCTAAACAAGCTACACATCCAAATGCCACCCATAAAACAACCAATGTCTTGTTATATGAAAGCAGTTCCAAATATAGAGTCCCCTAGCCACCCTTCCAGTTCCAAATACTGTTATATGTCCCTTAAGCAGACACAAGGTCAGAGTCCTCAAAGCACCTTCATCTAGGGACTGCCCAGCATAGCTGTTGTACACCTGGGACTTAGGGACAACACTGACTTCCAACAAGGACTTCCCAAGGAGGGAAAACTGCAGACACTGTGGCCTAACAGTTAAACAGCTTCCCACCAGAAACCAGAAGACCCAGGTTCCAGCCTGAATTCTGTCCTTAGCCTTGAGATGACAACTGCTCTGCCTTCTGAAGTCCTAGGGTTCTTGGTAAAATGAAGTGGCTCAAGTACAAACCATCTTTGCTAAACAGCTCTTCTCAGTCTAAAATTCTAGAATCTATGTCACCAAATGCTTCAAATGTAGACAATGACAACTTTCTCTTTATAGCAACCATCAGCCCCTAGGGACCTTCCCTGTTCATAACTTTCCAAAAGGTTTATATTTAGTTCAGAGAGGACTACATTTAACACAAATGAGGCTACCCCAATGAAGTTTTTTTTATTATTATTAATCTATGGGATGTTACCTCTTGTAATTTTTTTTTTTCATACTGGGGATTGAACCAAGGGCACTTAACCACTGAGCCACATCCCCAGCCCATTTTGCTTTTTTTATTTTGAGACAAGAGTCTTGCTAAGTTGCTTAGGGCCTTGCTAAATTGCTGAGGCTGACATTGAACTTGAGATCCTCCTGCCTCAGCCTCCCATGTCCCTGGGATTACAGGCATGTGCCACCATGCCCAGCTGTAATTCTTTATTCTAAAATTCATATATATCTATATATTTTTTAAAAATAAAATATAGATATATATTAATATATATGTGTGTGTATATATATATATACACACACACGTCTCTCTATATATATGTATATATATGTGTGTGTGTGTGTGGTTGTTGTTGTTGTGCTGGGGAGTGAACCCAGACCCTTGTGCATGCTAGGCAAATGTTTTACTACTGAGCTACATCCCCAGCCCCAAAATTAATGTTTGCACACAACAGCATCTGATCTAGACTGTATTTTAACTTTATTTTCTTTGATCTCTCATAGCTCTTCTTTTTTCTTAGAACTGGAGGATATTTTTATGTGTTAAAAAAAGGCTAGAGAAATATTAGAAGGCAGTACAATCTATAACAATTCAAGGCCTCTGATTTTTTATCTAGTTGAGGGTGCTGAAACTATCTGTTTTCACGGAATAGTTTTTCCCTTTCCTGGATTCAATGCTACTGACAGGAAAAGAGCAGATTAAGGAAAAACAAATAATGTGCCTAACCAGGACTCTCCTGGCTTGGCTGTTAACTAATTGTGTAGCTTTGGGCACACAAGTATACTCATCTGCAACATATGAATAACCACACAGCAGCCCCCTAACTCCCCAGCACCAGCAGGAGGTTAGGTAGGCAAATGATAAGGTCAGAGACAAAGAACAGACACTGGCTCTCCAAAACACAGGCATTTGCTTCATTTGGGGGGAAAAAAAAACGGACACTTCTACTAATTAACTGTGGTGGTTAAACAGAAGCAAGATGCAGAAGTTCCAGATAGGTTGAACTGGGTCCAAAGTGAATCAAGAACTGAAGCACAGATTAAGCCTCCCAAAGTCTAGCTAAGCTGATGATGAAGGTCTTCTTCAAAGGCACCTAAGCTGCCTCCCAGTGTCCAGTGGTGAGGTCAGTGGGACTTGGTGCCAGGAGCAGTGGTGGAGACCAGAGGATCTGCTACCAGCTCAGCTTAGGGACCTAACCTGTGGCAAGCTAGGCCTACTTTCTTTATCCATGATCCGATTTGATTAATCTGAATTCTTTCCCTCCTCTGTAAATTGCCCCTTTGCTCCTCTGACAAAGTAGAAAATGACTTCAGCATATGACCTCACAGAAAATGAATCATGCTTGTTTTAGTCCAAATGAATTATACACAAAATAATTTATAATTATACACTTAGTACAGGTGGAGTCTGATTTTGTTGGCCAGTTAAGAAAGGCCTCCTCCTATATCACTCAAATGAGATTACTTCACTGGGTACTTGTGGAAGCACTCCGCCTGGGGAAAAACACCAGGCCAGCCCAGCGTGCTGGGCACACCTGTAATCCCAAGAAGGGCAACCTGGAGGCCGGCTGCAGCAACTTAACAAGACCCTGTCTCAAAATAAAATATTAAAAGGGCTGGAATGTAGCCCAGTGGTAGAGCACTCCTAGGTTTAATCACTAGTACCGCAATAAATAAATAAATATGTAAATAAACCAGGATAAAGAGATTTTGTTGCTAAAAGAGAAGATTCTAGAACTGGTTCTTTTCTTGACTATCACCTGCATTTTGGGGGCATTTCATGCAGTCCCAACATGTTCAGATTCCAAACTCCTATCCATCCTCAGGAGACCAAATACACATACCACCTCCACTCTGAAGGGTTTTCCCAGGAGGTGCGAAATTTCCACCTTTTCTATTCATTTGCCTCCCTCATGCCCCACAAAGCTGTGCTGTTCTCCATTTACAAGGTCAGATTCACCCCCAGCCCCACCCCAAAGACACCTCTGCCCACCCACAAGGCTTCCACCCTTCATGACCCTCCTCAAAGGCCAGCAAACTCCCAAGCTTGGTTGATCGTGATGGTGGGAGCGGAGCTCGCCCTCCTTGGCAGCCAGTGTCCCTGTGAGACGTTTTTTAAACTCGGGGCTACTTTGATCTTGCCTTGGATTGTATTAGGACCTTGCCTTAACATTTGTTCCAGATGACAAACGAAGATAACCCCTTTACAAAATGCACCTCCCCTTTCACAAAGTAATGACTCAACAACATCCAATCGCTTAAATGCATTGTATTTAAATACAAATACAGTTTGGTCGCTGATTTCATTTGTGTTGTCACACCAAAACACACTTGTGAGTTTCAAATTGCTTCGACTGGCTTCACTGGCTTCACGCTTCCTCGCTGTCCCTGGACAAACGCTAAGCAGTTGTGAAATCACCAAAAAGGTGGGGAGGGAGAAGGGGAACGCAAGGGAAGACCGGGCCAGAATAACCCTCATGAGTCACCATTTCCTGGATGATGGAGCTCGCTGCTTGGGGGGGATCCGAAGAATGGAAGCCGAGTAGCGTTTGGAGACCGAGCCCCCGCCGGGCAGCTGCAGGACCCGGAGCCGGGACCCTGGCCGGGCACCGCGTGCTCGAGCGCCCTCCTGTGGTGGCGCCGCAGCCCCCGCGGCTCCGGGTTCGCCCGCAGACCACGCTCCCCGCGGCGGAAGAAACAAGAGACGCAGAAAGTTTCCTAGCCAGGTGGTTTGCAAAAGGACAAGCCAGGTTCCCGAGGCTTGATGCGCGGGCGTGGCGGGAGTGGCGTCCAGGCCAGCAGCGACCACCAGACGCCTAGACGGACCCCCAGGGCCCCGAGATGCTCCCTCTCGGGGCTGAGGGCCTCTAGATCCTGAGGGCACCCCGCACGCCGACCTTACAGCGGGGGGCGGGCAGGAGTGGCAGGGCCCACAGCCAGGGAAGGGGGCCCCCGACACCCCAGCTATCGAGCGCGCTTGGGCTCTTGGGTTTGCTTTACTCGTTTTCTTAATTGGAGGGAGGGGGCGCACCAGCTCCTTTTGGCGCATTGTGATCCCCAGCAGTCTGGTTTCTGGGTGCCTCCAAAGAGCCCACCTGGAGTCCACTGCCCCACCCAACGCCGCCCTCCCGCGCTGGGGTGATAAGTGGAAATGGCAAATCCTCTGCCTCCTCCTCCTCCAACCCTCTGGTTTGGGAGGTAATGTTCCACCCGGGTTTCCCTGACACCCGCAGTGGACCTCGGGCCGAGAGGCGGCGGCGGGAGACCGGCACCCCGGGGCGGGGAGGCGGGAACGGGCGAGGCCCGGTGCGGCACCTACCTCGTCCACGGTGAGCGGCATGCAGATCCGGTACTCCTTCAGCAGCATGGTCCTGCCGGCCGCGGACCTCCGAGGCGGGAAGCGGGGGGCGCCCCCCCAGACTAACAAGGCTGCCGCCCAGGCGCAAGGCAGGGCGCTCCTCGGAACCCGCGGCGAAGCAGCCTTCGCGGTGCGCTCAGCTCCTGGCTTCCTCCTCTCCTCCCGAGAGCATGTCAAGGTTTGGGTCCGGTGTTCGTGGCTCCCCCGCCTCCTTCCTCGCCGAGGTCGGTCCTCCCGGAACGCGGTGTTGCAAAGTCGGGAGTGAGGGAGGGAGACCCGCTGGAAACGCTACGATCGGCAGCCTGGGGCGGTAGGAGCGGCCGCCGGATCAGGACATGCCCGGCAGCGAGCGAGGGAGGGGAAAAAAATAAATTTCCAAAAATTAAAACAAATGCATAAAAGTCACTCTCTCGATCCGCCTTTGAAAGCAGAGCAGACCCTGGCTACCCGCCTCCTCCGACCGGTCTGCCCAGTGCTAATGTCACCAGGAACACATTGCAGCCGGATCCGGAGATGCAGACTTTCCAGACAAAGGCTCGAACGGCTCCTCTCTCCGGGCGGTAAACAAGATTTCCTGCTCTTTTTAGGGCCAGTCCCTGAGTCGTTCCAGGGCTCGGCTGGAGAAAAGGGAAGCAACCGCCGCCGCCACCCCTCGGCTCTGCCGTGCTGGGGCCCCGGGTGCCTCGAACCTCGACTGGCTGTTGCTAGGGGCGGGCGAGAGGAAGCTGGCGCCTTCCGCGCGCGTCCCCTCCCCCGAGTCCCTTGGCTCCCCGAGCGCGGTGCGTGCCCGCGAGTTTGCAGCCACCTCGCTGGGGCCGGAGAGTCCGCGCAGAGCTGCAGTGTGCCTGGGGCCGGGGAGGTGGGTGCGGGAGGAGCGAACGCGACGAGGCTGACATCAGCAGCGGCCGCGGCGGGGAGGGTAGCCCCATCCGGCCAATGGGGAAATGGCAAAGAATGTGGAGGATTTAAACAAAACAGCATGTCTCTCCCGGGCTGCTGCCAGACTGCAGGGCTGCCCCGGAGCCGAGCCCGCCAGGTTCCGGGGAGCATCGGAAAAGGGGGCTTTGATTCTGTTTTCAAATATATCCTGGGTGCCATAGTGCCCTACCCAGCCACTCTGGGAAGCTTCTGGACCCAAGGTACACAAAGTGTCCCTTGACCTTAGGAAAGTCTTTACAAATACCCACCACTAACGTTTCCACGATAATCCGGTAAGCAAGGCCAATGCTCGAGAGGCGTGGGATTGAGAACCCTTCCTGGGTTCTTAACTGGTTCCAGAGAAGGAATCCCAGGAAATTAGGAAGTGCGGTAGTGCGAATGAAAAATAAGTATAAATAGAAAAATAGACATGAACCCGACGTCGCCTAGACCTCTTCTGTCCCAGCTTTGCAATCTGACTGCAGGCTTTGCCGAGCAGAAAGAATAGGTTTTCGTGTCAGCACTCCTAAGTTCAGAAAGTCACAGTGAAATGTCAATGAAAATGCCTGGAGTGTTGTTATTTCATCCATATTAAACAGATCCTTCATTTTAACCACAAGAAGCACATTCTTTAGTTACTCAGGAAGCAGCAAGTTGCTGCTGAAGTCTGTTTTTCATTTGTCTGGTATTTTGGAGCTTGTTTTTCTGAAAAGTTGCTAGATGAAAAAATGCATCCGTTGCCTGTATGAGAATAACTGTAAGCATCATCTTTTCTCCAAACAATATTCACACCCTAACGGTCCTACAGCTACTCAAAGAGCTTGGATGGCACTACAGATGGTTTCTCAATAGTATAATATTACAAATTATGATCAATAAATCCACTAACCAATATAATGATGATGGGCTTGTGGCTAAGGTCATTGCAATGACTACAATTAATTTATAACTTTAAACATCATACAAACCCTGCTAGGAAAATGACACCCTATATCCAGTTTATATTTAAGTGAAACTATTTTCTAGATAAATGCCTCCCAGAGTTGGCTCAGAAATATTCACAGCAACTAATTAAAGCTAAACCGAATTCCTCGAGGTGGAAAATCTAAATTTGACACTGTAGTGTTGAATAATAACACATTGAAAGTCTGTGATACGAAGCAGCTCAAGCTGTTTTTCTTTTTTCTACTTCTTACTTGAAAACAAGTGTAGCTCTGGGCACCTGATCATTTTTGCAGAAGTAACAAGGCAATGCAATACATTGCCACCATCCTTATGCATACAGGACATCACAGCCAGGTGTGTGGGCTCCATTCCTGTTTTCTGAGGTGTTTCCTGACATTGATTCTAGAATGAAGGGTTCTGATGGAGTGAAGGAACTACTCTGAGTTTCCCAAACTGTAAATTGTCATGTACACGTGTCCTTCTGTATCCACAGGAAGACTGGTTCAAGGATCCCCTGTGGATACCAAAATCCAAGAAGTTCAACTCCCTTTATAAAACAGTATAATATTTACACACAGCCTACAAACATCCTCCCATATATTTTAAATTATCTTTAAATTACTTACAATAAATAATACAATCTACATACTGTATAAATAGTTGTTATACTGTGGAGAAGAATGACAAGAGAAAACATCTGTACATGTTCACATGCATTTTTTCCCCAGTATTTTATTTGTTTTTGTGGTGCTGGGGATTGAACCCAGGTGCACTTTACCACTAAGTTCCATCTCCAGTCCTTTTTTATTTTTTGAGAAAGGCTGGCCTTGAACTTGTGATCCTCCTGCCTCAATCTCCCAAATCACTGAGATTACAAATGTGTGCCACTACATCCAGCCTTTTTCCAAATATTTTCCTTTGACAATAGATTGAATCTGCAGATAGGAAACTCACAAAGACTGCTGGATGACTCTGTTTCCTGTCCCATTCCTCCTGTTGTAAGGTGACATCTCCTTTGGATTCTCTTCTCCTTTGCCCATCCACATGCCTGGTTGCATTAATCTTGTGCAAGCACAAAGCTCTAATCCCACCATTTTCATAATCTTCTAGTGATTCTCTGTGGTCTACTTGGCAGAAGCCTCAAGACACTGAATCCCTTTTCCTCAATTAGCTCATTACGCTTCCCTAGCCCTACTGCAGCCACAGGAGACAAATCTGGTGGCTGGAGAAAGCCTCATCATTCCGGTTTGACCCTTCTGCTTCATCTCATTGCCTTCACGGAGAATCCCTCTCCCCAGCTCATCCCCCAAGCGTGGATAATCTGTGTTCCTGGAAAGTGATTCTGACGGCGATGTGCTGGATGGGTTAGGACAGGTAGCAGAGGCAAGAGGTGATTATGTTATTATAATACTATAGGAGACGTGGGGAGGACGAGACAGAGAATGAAGAGGATGAATTCAAAAGATCTGGACAGGAATTGGGACAGATTAGTATTCACTACAACGATGCTTGCAGGTGGAGGGCGTAGGGAGAGTATTCATTCAGAACTCATTCACTTTAAGGGGGAGAGCGCCACCTACTGGCAAAGAGCGATTACTTAAAAATGTTTTAAGTCGTCAGCAACTATGGCAGGAGAATTATATATATCTTTGTTTCTTTTCAACCGATGCTATCATACTTAAAAAGGGTTTTGAAGGTGTTGCTGTCATCATATGGTTATTAAGAATGCACTATTAACAACGTGCAATATGTGGCTAGTGATCATCATGTATAAAAACAATAAGGGTGGGGCACAAAGAGCAAAAAAGGGGAACAAAGAGTAAAGTTACCAGAGGGATGATAGGACCAAAAGGAAAAGAATAGTATGCTGTGGGCGTCTGTGACAGCACATATTCTCAGATAAGTGACAATCTCTGGAGGCAAGTGTACTCAGAACACAGGATGGGGGTGCACATTCAAAATCAAAATCATGAGTTTTCCAACCTATTGTCTCCAATGCTTTCTGATGAGGCCCTCCTTGTTAAAAAACCACTTAGCCTATGAGAAAAAAACAACAACAACAACCTATGAAGGGCTTGACTCACCTGAAAAAGGATATGGCTTTTGGGACTCTACTCCAATTGTGTTTTATTTCTAGAATATCCCTCGTACTTCCAAAGCAAAATATTATGGTTCTTCTTCCCATCTTCCCTTTCTCCTACCCATAAGGTCTATGGGTTAGTCAAGGCCCATGGCAAGTCCTATCTCCAAAGAAGAGCCATTCTAGAAAACTCTTTACCTTCCTAGACAATCCCAAAACATTTTTCTGAACACTTTGATTCTTGTTTTTATGCAAGCATGGCCTTCATATATACTGTTGTAACCTACTCTCTAGAGTTTCACCTGTTCTCCAACACCCAACATGGTGGTGGGCCTCTGAGGAGACAGATTTGCCTCCATCATCTAGAAAATGAAGCATGCTGTGAGGGAAGCTGGAAACTCAGGAAACATCTATTAGATATATGCATGTAATAGTGTGGGGGTTTTTTTGGGGAGGGGCAGTACCAGGGATTGAATTCAGACACTCAACCACTGAGCCACATCCCCAGCCCTATTTTGTATTTTATTTAGAGACAGGGTCTCATTGAGTTGCTCAGCGCCTTGCCATTGCTGAGGCTGGCTTTGAACTCACGTCTTCCTGCTTCAGCCTCTGAACCTCTGGAATTACAGGCGCGTGCTACTGTGCCTGGCTTACTGCAGCATTCTTAACTTCCACAACAAAAGAATTACCCTGGAACAGGTAATTCTTTTGTTGTGGAGGTCACTGTAGGACTTTTGTCAGCATTCCTGCCTTTCCCACTAAATGTACACCTCTCAAAGGTGCGCGTGCACACACAGACACAGACACACACACACACACACATTTGGCTTGTTGGTGTGGAGGTGATGGGTGATTAGTGTAACATTTGTTAATCCTGTCTAATGTTTAGCTACACCAAGAGGAAGCTTTCATTGAGACTACCTTTCAGGTTGTCAAAATAAGAACTAAGGAAAGAAGAAATAAAAATCATTATGTCACAGTGATATAAAGATGTCCCTCTGCTTTTAATTCCCATTTTCAGCTTTACATGTCCACAGTATCAAGGGGTCTTGATAAAGACTCTTTTGTGTTTGTTTTAACATTATCTTTGATCACTTGGTTAAGGTAATATCTGCCAGGTTTTTCCACAGTAAAGTTATTATTTTCCCTTTCCATGCTCTATTCTGAGTCATTAAGTCCAGCCCCCACCATATTGTAAGGGAGGGAGTACAATATGGTCCCACCTCCTTAAGGGGAGAATATCCACATCTATAATGAGGAATTCTGAATTATTTGTCCCTTTTTAAATTTTTTTTCTTAATTGTGTGTGTGTGGGGGGTGTGTATAGTGCTGGGGATAGAACCTAGGGCTTGGCACATGCTAGGTAAATGTTACACCCAGCCAAGTTTATTTTATATTTTGAGTTACAACCAATACTACATTACTAATTTTGTTGCTCACAGTTGTCTGACTTAGCCACGGGGAATTCTTTCAGGATGGTGACTTGTCCTTTTGGCCTGCACCCCATTTTTATTGGGCAGTTCAAGAAAATAAAATGTTATTCTTTGTAATTAATTTTTGTTTTGTTAAATATTAATTGCTTAATTCCAACAAAGTATAACTGTGTGTTTAAATCCCTCTATGTCTGTTCTTGTTTGGTTGCTGAGCAAATGTTAGAATACTTTTTTAATAAAACTATACAAAGCAAGTCCCAAGGCGATTCTTACATGTAGACCCATTTATCAGGCCTCTATTAAATGCAAAGAATGTCTTTGATGTGGAATTGCTTGGAGCTGTGTAGTAAATGCTCATAAAATAAAAATGAATTGACAATGATGTGGTACAAATTGTTTCACACAGAAAAAACCTGGAGGTTCTACAGCCAAAGGTGCAGGTGTTCTTTTTCTTCTTTTTAATAAATAAGCTGGTGATAGATTCATCAAAGTTTGACTTTTTATTGAATTACCTATTTTTCCCCAGAAACTGGTAAAACATTGGAATATTCTGAGATGAATAAAGGCCTAATTTTCTCTCTAAGTCTTTATTACAGAACCACTTGGAAAAAAGTACAGTGTTCAGACCATTGTACCTTTTTGTTATTAGTTCCCCATTTCAGGCATGTGAGACCCCAAAGTCTAGCATCGCAACATTATTTGGAGAGGAAAACCCAATCCAGGGGCTACAGGTTAGCCCAATGGTAGAGTGTGTATTAGCATGCTTAAGGCCCTGGGTTCAATCTTCAGCACCCTCCCACACGAAGGAAGGAAGGAAGGAAAAAAGGAAGGAAGGAAGGAAGGAAGGAAGGGAGGGAGGGAGGGAGGAAGGAATTTCAATCTAATATTCTGTTCACACTATGAGGCTGTTTGTAAGCTTAACCCACTGGAGAGAAATTATACTGATGAAAGAAAACACTGATTTTGATCTTGATTGTTTTTCAAGAGAGGCAACTGTGCACTCATAACTTTTCTTGAATTTCAAAGTGTTTTTCCCCCCCAGTATTGGGGATTGAATTTAGGGACTTATAGATAGTAAGCAAGCACTGTACCACTAAGCTACATTCTCCAGCCCCTTTTAATATTCTTTAAATTTTGAGACAGGGTCTCACTAAGTTGCTGAGTCTGGAATTCAATGTGGGATCCTCCTACCTGAGCCTCTGACATTGCTGGATTACAGGTTATGCACCATGCCCAGCTTAATGTCAAAGAATATTTAACATGTTATCATTAATTGATGTCAGTATAGATCTAGCAATAATATTTCTTAACTATATAGTGCCATAGAAACATCATGTAATTTCACTTTATGTGGAACATAGTAGACGTTGCCAGAGGAAAA